CCCCATAGAGCCCCATAGAGCCCCACTGCGCCCCATAGGGCCCCATAGAGCCCCATAGAGCCCCACAGTGGGCAGAGCCGGGGGGGGGGAGGGAATCTGTGGGGTGTCTGCGGGGCAGTGCGGGTTAGGAACAGACAGGGCTCTGTGTGTCACCATGGGACGCTATGGGGCAGCCGTGGGGCAGCTATGGGGCAGCTGTGGGGCAGCTATGGGGCAGTTATAGGGCAGCTGTGGGGCAGCTGTGGGGCGCACCGTATGGGCATGAAGTTGAAGATGTTGGGCATCCCGGGGCAGTAGCACAGGAAGCAGCCGATGGACACCTGGAAGACGATGGCGATCAGCAGGATGTGGTTCCTGTGGGGAGACAGAGGGGGGCTGGGGGCGCTGTGGGGCGCGGGGACCCATAGAGACCCACAGACACACATAGGGACCCACAGAGACCCCATAGAGACACATAGGGACCCCATAGAGACCCACAGAGACCCACTGAGACCCCCATAGAGACCCATAGAGACCCATTGAGATCTACAGGGAACCATAGAAACCCATAGGGACCCATAGGGACCCCACAGAGCCCCATAGGGACCCCACAGAAACCCCCTGAGACCCCATAGAGCCCCACAGAGACCCTTAGAGCCCCATAGGGACCCCATAGAGACCCCCAGAGCCCCATAGAGACCCCACAGAGACCCTTAGAGCCCCACAGGCGCCCCTTAGAGCCCCATAGGGACCCCTTAGAGCCCCATAGGGACCCCATAGAGACCCCCAGAGCCCCACAGGGACCCCTTAGACCCCATAGGGACCCCATAGACCCCCCCGGCGCCCCCCGCCCCGTACTGGAAGAGGCCCTGCTGCAGCAGGGAGAGGCGGCGCGTCTTGCGGATGAGGACGTCAGCGATCTGGCACATCTCGATGCTGATGAAGAACACGGTGTAACACGTGTACTGCTGGTAGCGGCGCTGCTCGAACGTCTGCGCGGAACGCGGGGGGCACAAACGTGGGGCACAGAAATGTGGGGCACACAAGTGGGTTCATATGGGTTCCTATGGGTCTCTATGGGTCTCTATGGGTCCCTATGGGTCTCTATGGGTCCCTACGCATCCCTATGGGTCCCTATGCATCTCTATGGACCCATATGGGTCTGTATGGGTTTTTGGGATCCCTATGGGTCCCTGTGGGTTCTACAGGTCCCTATGGGTCTCTATGGGGTCCCTACGGGTCTCTATGGGTCCCTATGGGTCCCTACGCATCCCTATGGGTCCCTATGGACCCATATGGGTCTGTATGGGTTTCTATGGGTCCCTATGGGTCCCTATGAGTCCCTATGGCTTCCTATGGGTCCCTATGGGTCCCTATGGGTCTCTATGGTTCCCTATGGGTACCTATGAGTCCCTATGGGTTCCTATGGGTCCCTATGAGTCCCTGTGGGTTCCTATGGGTCCCTGTGGGTCCCTATGGGTCCCTATGGCACCCTATGGTTCCCTATGGCTCCCTATGGCTCCCTGTGGGGTGCTGTGGGTCCCCGTGGGTCGCACTCACCCACTGCTGCCCATAGCTGTCCTGCAGCTCCTGCTGATGCGTGTCCTCCCAGTGGGGCCGCAGCCCCACGCAGAGCAGCGGCCACCAGCCCTCCTGCGCCATGGCCACAAAGTAATCGGTGAAACCAGCGAAGGACTGGATGGCGCCTGGGGGGGGTTGGGGGGCGTTAGGGGGAGTTATGGGGGGGTTATGGGGGATTATGGGGGATTATGGGGGAAATGGGGGCAGTGGGTCTCTGTGGGGTCTCTGTGTGTCCCCACGTGTCCCTGTGTGTCCCTGTGGGGTCCCTGCAGCCCCCACCCCCCATATGGCCCTACACCCCCCCCCCCCATACCGCTCTATATCCCCCCGCATAGGGCCCCACAGCCCCCCCCATACAGCCCTATAGCCCCCCCCATAGGGCCCCCCAGCCCCCCCCGCCCCCCGCACCGATCTGGAAATAGGAGTAGGCGGCCAGCGGCTCGTTGACCAGCCGATCCCGGCGGGGGTTGCGGGGCTTCAGGTGCATGATGTCGCTCTCAGCGCGTTCGTAGGCCAGGGAGACCGAGGGGAACTGGGGGGGGGGAGATGGGGGGTGAGGGGGGGGTATGGGGGGGTACGGGGGTGTGGGGTGAATGGGGTGAATGGGGACAGTGGGGTGAATGGGGTGAATGGGGACAGTGGGAACTTTGGGGTGAATG